CTTGCAGTTAGCGGCCCAGAGCACAGCCACTGTGCCACCAGGACTCTCTGGAAGATGAAAACAGGGGAGGCAACATTTGAAACCATCAAATGATTATTTTTAATCCTCTCCTGAATAGAACAGAGTCATCCGGTGCAAAGAGAAGACCACAGCTCTCCAGATGATTTATGGATTTAATATGTTAAACAAGAGAGAAGGGAGATCCTTCTCCCAGCAATCAAATGAGTTAGGCTTGTGCGCGTGTTTCATAGGCCTTAGGGAGTCATCTTGGTCTCTTCACAGTGTATCCCAGGAGGCAGACCTGTCCCCCAGCCCTCCTACGGGGCTTGCAGCTGCACGATGATGAGCTTATAATGACCACACACCCATGGGATGGAGAGATACATATATACTTATATATATGCACACATATAATAAAACATTAGCCAGTTCAGCATTTTCACATGTACAACTTAATGACAGTAATTACTTTCATCAGGTTGTGCAACCGTCACCAGGATCCATTTCCAACGTTCCCATCATACCTAAGTAATGGCCCCCTCACAGGACACCTGGTTTCAAACATCCCACCCGACTGTCCGATGGCTGTCAGACAGTGCATTGTGGTTGGGGGACATAAGAATGTGGTCTTTCTTGGGCAGCATCCCGCCACACATCTTGCTCGTACCATGTGGGCTGTCAACGAACCGGAATGGACTTGGTGGCAGTGAACTTGGCGGATATTGGGGGGGGGGGCTATAGACGACGAAAGAAGAGTCCTAGTGACACCATGGCTGAGATTTTGTTTGTTTTTGTTGTTGTTTTTCATCTCACTTCCTCCTCCTATCTCCTATTCCCAATTTGAACCCTTCTGGATTTTTGTCCTTAGGTAAACTAAGCCCTTTTTGATGTTAAATAACTGGTTATTCTAAGGTGTGTGTACCGCACTAGTATTATTTTCCTCTTCTGGGTCTGTCTATTGTTTGGCTGAAAATTGAGCCACACGGGTGTTTAATTCTAGATTGGAGGGGTGAGTAAGGACCTTCATCTTAGTGTTTATCTGACCAGAAAGCCTAGCCTCTTGTGATTTTTGCGCCACATTTTTCTCCCGCTCTGTCAGGACCTTCTTGCGTACTCTCAGCTCAGAGCAGATGGCAGCAGCAGCTGGGCATCCTCTGGTTCTTTTGGTCTTGTCAGCAAGAAGCTCAGGGTCTCAAGCCTCTCCACTCCTCGGTTCTTGCCCCACTCACAAGAAAGATTTCCGGAGAGGCACAAAATCCAGACAAAAGTCCGAGAAAGAGATTGACAGAAAGAGTACGTTTGTTGAAGGGAGATACTTTGGAAAAGAAATCCAAAGGGCCTCCGCTGCTCTAAAAGGCCAGGCCAAACCTAATGCTGGACCTTCTATTTGGCTCAGGATGGACCGCCCAGCCTAGGCTGGCTTTGTGGTGGGTCCTCTGCTATTGGCTGGTCCTCTGGCACTCAGACAGCCCGCCTTCAAGCTGTGTTCTTGTCCCTGACCCCAAACAGAAGTCTATCTATTCAGCCATTCTAGGGGTGGTGTGAACATCTGCTCTCTCTTCCCCCAGAGCAATATCGGACCTGTCTTCCGTTGGTAAGGAACTGTGTCTTATTCCGCCCCTCAGCTCCCTTTGTGCTGGGGGAGTGGGGGAGGGCTCTGGGGAAGCATGGCTCCACCTTTTTTGTGTGGGTTTAAGATTCCTGCCAGTTGCCTTCCACAATCACCTCTTCCCCACCCCCGACCCCTGCCAGCCTCTGACTGGTGACCAGTCTCACAGTCAGGGGGGGAAGGAGGGGACTGATGTTTGTGCTCCATCAGTCCACTGACCTGATGGTTTCCATATGTCTTCTATTTTCATGACGCTCCTTTCCTCGAGGAAGGAGCCCTGGGGGTATGTATAGTGGTTAGGCAAGAGGTTGTGATCCTCATGGTCAGCAGTTTGAAACCACGAGCAGCCCTGAGGGAGAAAAACTGAGCTTTCTATTCCCGTCAATGGTTAGCATCTCCACAGAGGGGCTCTATGAGTCAGCACGGATTGGATGGCAGTGAATTTGATCTCTTGTGTCTGTCTTCTAGACGAGGAGAGACCAATAGTTGCACCTTCGATGGCTGCTCACAAGCTTTTGAGACACCCTCCCCCAGTTACTCCTCAGCAAATGGGGGTGTAGAACACCATCGAATTAACTGGGTTGTGCCTCTTGACCTTGGTGTCTCCCTGGAAAAGGTGGGAGGTCAGAACCCACCAGGGAAGCGGTGGGAGGGAGAGGTGGCAGTCTGCTTCCATAGAGATAATCAGCCTCAGAAATCCTACGGGGCAGGTCGACTCGGTCCTATAGGTTCACTACGGATCGGAATCACCTGGACAAGCGGTGAGAAGAATGCATCGGAATCACCTGGACAGGCGGTGAGAGGAATGCCGGCGTGCAGGGTGGGGGTCAGGGGGACAGGTGACCCTTGTGAAGCCTGGAGTAGACTCCCTTGCCAGGGAAGGACGGGAGTCCTCAGAGAGACCTCCTCCCCTCAGCCCAGTCTTAGGTGAGGGAGGAGTGAGGGCAAGCCTCAGCGGGGCAAGAGGCCACATCCCACGGACAGAAGCAAAGTCCAGAAGTGGCCTTCCACCTGATTGCCAAGGCCGGGAAGCAGGGCCTATGGCGAGATAAGGATCACACTTTGGACTCCGCGGCCAGAGGGCAGCTGAGGGGAGGTCAATGGTCCCCAGCCCCAAGGCCCCACCCATGGCTGCGGGCCGAACCCACGAAGGAAGATGAGGCAGAAAGAGGAGCCGGTAGGCGGCCACTCACTGCACCTAGGAAGGTGGGCCCCAGCTACAGAACACCCAGGCGAACTCTCTTCCTCGCGATCTCCTTCTCCTGCGCCCGGTCGCGCTTGGAACCCTCTTTACTCCAGCGTCCCCCGGGGGGTCAGGCCGGGAGGAGGGCAGGGGGGACGAGCGGCGAGCGCCAGGCTCCGCGGATGGTGAAGTCCAGGTGAGGAGGAGAGGGGATCGGAGCCCCTGGAGCGCTCCTTGTCGGTGGGGGCCGGCCCCCTCTGCTCCTCCGCCCCACGGGCGCCAGAGCGGGGCTTAGTACCCGGCCGGTGTCCTCGGCGACAGGGCGTTCCCAGGCCGTCCCCGCCCCTCCCCCTGCACCGCACCTTCCTGGCCCTGCGCCGCTCCGCGCCGTGCGGCGGGCCCCGGGTCCCAGTCCGGAGCTGGGCAGCGGGGTTGGCATTGCTGGGGGAGCGCTAGGCGACACCCCCACCCCCACCCCGGGCGGAAAGCGGAGGAGCGACGAGCAGGGTCCGTCCGGGACACCTGGCCGCACAGGTGAGCGGCGGGAGCGCTGGGCGCTAGGGGAGTGAGGGTGGGGGTGGGGGGCGCGCGGCGGGCAGAGCCTGGGGCGCTAGGAACTCGGGTCCCCGGGTTCCCCGGGGAGGAAGGAAGAGGAGCAAGGCAAAGCCGTAAAAGAACCACCAGCAGGCGGGTGCGAGAGGCAGACAGGATTATCGATCGGGAGGCGCCCGAGGAGACTGTGCACGACTTTTCCCTGCTCCTAAGTAAGGCAAGGGTCTGAGGCCCCTCTGCGGTACCTGCACAGCACCACTGACCCCACCCCCTCTTTGGAGGGCTTCACCTCTCCAGGCCCCGCCCACTCGGAGGAGGGGGTCCTCTAGCCTGACTTAGAGGAAAAGAAGGGCACCCCACGCCGGGTTCCCAGCTCCCCGTCTAGGCTGAGGGAGAGTAAGCGAATGCCAACACCAGAAAGCCCAGCTCCCACCTGGCTGATCTCTAAGGTCAAGGGTCTGAGAGCTGTGGCCCACCTCACCTTCTTGCCTGAGACCAGGAGGGAATTAGCCAACTTCCCTGGTAGTAACGCTCCTGGACTTCAGATGCCCTCGGTCACAATTTCCGTGGGAGCTGTCAGGGACAATGTGTGCATGATGCTTCATCGGAAGGCACTGAAATTTGAATTTCCTCTCAGGTTTACAGGTCCTGAGTGAGTCTTCTTTACATTTTCTCGGGCACTTCCATCTTTGCTTAGGAGTCAGTTGTACCAAAAGCAGGCAGTGAGTTGGACAGCTCATCACCAGGCCCTCCCCCCACCCTCTTTTCTTCCGGCCCCCTCAGAGGGCAGGGGGTAAGGGGATCCTCCCACCTGGTTGCATCCCCAAAGTCAGAAACCTATGCAAGACCCTTGCTCCAAGCAGGACTGCAGGGGCAGGACAGTGGCTTGTCCCCTCCCTGTGTCTCATGTCACTGCCATCCAGTGGATTCTGACTCCCTGTGACCCCTTAGGACAGGCTAGAACTGCCACTGGTTTTCCAAGACGGTGCCTCTTTATTTTTTTTTTTTTCTGACCAGTGAACTCTTTTTTTTTTTTAAATCAATTTATTGGGTCTCATACAATTCATCACAATATATAGATCAATTGTGTACAGCACATCTATACATTTGTTGCCCTCATCATTCCCAAAATTCGCTTGCCTCTTGGAATCAGCTCATTTTCCTTTTTTTCCCCCTCCCCCTCCCGACGGTGCCTCTTTACGGGAATAGACAGCCTCTGTCTTTCTTCCGCAGAGTGACTGGTGGTTTCAAACTGCTGACCTTGAAGTTAGCAGCCGACTGTACCAAAAGAGCAAACTCACTGTCCTTGAGTCAGTCACTTGTCAACCCCTAGCGACCCTATCGGACAGGGCAGAACGGGAGTTTCCGAGACTGTAACTGTTTACGGGTGTAAAAAGGCCCAGAAGCAGCCGGTGGGTTCAATCAGGGAGGAGATATTTGTCCACGGTGCTTTCTACCCAATATGTACATGCGCATGCTCTGTCCTGCCAAGTCTCTCTCTTGGTCCCCAGGCCGGTCCTACCCACACTGATCGCCTGAGTTCCACCCTCTCGCCTCACCATTCATTCCTTTGTGCTCTCTCTCGCAGGCTTTGGGGTGCCCATTCTCCTGGACATTGGAGCTATGGCCCTTGGGAGGTGACCCATGAGAGAAGGGATGCAAGCCATTAATCCTGTGGATGACGGTTCCCTCCAAGGCCTGGTGGCGTCTCGAATCGCCACTTACGGGGGTCGACATGGGGCCTCTGCCCAGAGTGCTGCTGGCAGTCTCTACCCAAGAGCAGGCATTGGTGCCGGACCGGTGAGTCCTCTGGGTGGTTCCCCAGGCTGTGCCCTGAGGATGACCTGGGTGGGGTAGCAGGACGGACACCTAGGCTTTCAAGCATCTGTCCCCTTACAAGGTCATGGGCTGCTCTGATCCTGTCCCTTACCACTCCCCACCCCCTTCTTTCTGGCTTGAGGGGGTCGGGGGACAGAAGGGTAGAGGCGGGGCCAGGCTCCCAGGACTCAGACCCCAGGTCCCAGACAGCCTGCACCTGTACGGCTAAGAGCCAGGATAAGCCAAGCCCACGGAGGAGGTGCTGTTAGACAGGTCTGAGACACAGAGCTGGGGGTGGGGTGGGGCCACCAAACCCTAGGGTTGCCACCTCCCAGGTTCCCTCCTCTACTTGGGAGGAGCCTCTGGGATCTCTGAGACCTGCCCCCTGTGAGTCAGGGCGGCAGGGAGAGCAAAAGTTCAGGTGGCCCTACTTTACAGGTGGGGATCATGGGGCCTGCCTGGCTCCACCCCTGGCCCTACCTCTGGGATTCCCTCCAATCCCGACTGAGGAAGGGAGTGTGGCTCGGTCTTTCCCGTAGTCCCCAGGCTGCCCTGCCACCCCAGGAAGTCTGCTTCCTGCTGGGGTATTCCCTGCCTCATGGGGGAGGATCTGGCCCTCAGAGAGGGAGGTCAGCCAGGGACTCTCCCAGACCCAAGGCGGGAAGGGAGTTTAGGAAGTACATGGGGGTAATTCAGAAATGTGCCCTGGCCTGCCCTGTAGGGGACTGAGCACTGGCCTCTCACAGGAGAGCCCAGCCACTTCCAACAGAATGGAAGGCCGGCTGACAGCCCAGGAAGGAGCCTACCCATGTGTGTGTGCCCGACTCTCTGTGGGAATGACAGGGGAAGTAGCGTGGGACCCGGATGCAGCGTCCCTTGTGTGCTGCCTGTGCATGCCCGGTGTGCATGGTGGGTGCCGGTAGCATGTGCCTGCCTGCGTTCCGGCTCTGGGGGAGGTCTCTGCCCCTGCCCCAGGCCCTCTTGGGGAGCCAGCCTGACATGCCCTTGCTCAGCTCTGCTTGGCCTTGCTGGCAGCCACGGCCATGACTCAGGACAGGAGTAGCCACACCAAACTGGTTTGAGGGGATAAGTGAGCCAACCCAATTTGGCGGGAAGAGCCAGGTCTGGAGCCAAGCCTGGCCTCCAACTATCTGGGGCTTTGAGGGGGTGGGGGGACTCTACCACCACCCCTGCTGCTCCCCCAGGACCCCAGTCGCCGCCGTCTCCAGGACTATGTCCCCTTCGCCAAGAGTTCGGGCCAGGCCAGGAGGCCGTCGCCCTTGACGCTCCGAGAGCCAGAGTCTGAGAAGTGGCATGGGGAGCACTTGGGGGCTAGCCCACCTTACTCCCCCAAACTCAAGGTAAGGAGTTTCTCTTCTCCCCACTCTATGCCCCACCCCACTATCAGACGAGGGATCCCCAGGGGCTGACAACACAGGGCAAGGGCTGTCTGCCTAGAGCCCCTCCAAAAATCCAGGCACCACTCTGCCTAAAAACCCCCTCAGGGAACTGGCCCCGCTCAGCCCGGACCGTGAGGCCCAGTGACTTTGACTGAGGTCATTTTGACATTGTTTAAAGAATAAACTGTTACGATCAAACGTCCAGCCCTTTAAAGCTCTCAAATACTGTGAGAGCCAGGGACACTTCCTCTCTCCCCAAGTCCTATTTCACCCTTCACGCCAACCGTGAGCCCCACCTTCCTGTTGTGACGGTCAGGAATATTTTTGTTCACGTCACTTGATACACCCGCCCCCAAAAAGCAATTTGTAAGACTTAAGCCTTGTCTCCTAAAAAGAAGAAAAGTCCATGTGAAAATGTTGCCTGGGACCACGGGTTCCCTGAGTTGTGCTGTGGTCTCCATCAGAAGGCCCTCTGAAGGGTGGGGGTCTGTTCCCCCTCCCAGGGTTCTGTCTCGGCAAACTCCTAGCAGGAATGGTTCTGCCCAAAGAGTCCAAGTCAGGCTCCTGCAATCCCAGGTTTCTCTGCCCAAGCTCCAGCTATGCCTTCTGTCTGCCCCACATTCCAGCTGGAGTTAACCCCAGCTCCTGCCCTGGCTTCACACACACACACACACACACACACACAGCTCTCACACACGCCAGGCGGGCTGGGCACCAGGGCTGTGGTCAGGATCAGCCTCTTTCTTGACTCCCCAGGGTGTGGCCACAGTAGAACATCTGAAGAGACGGCTGCACACGTTCAGCATGTTTGGGATACCCCGCCTGCCCCCTGAGGACCGGCGGCACTGGGAGTTAGGCGAAGCCAGTGACCGGAGTCTGGTCATCGAGAAGTCCTGGAGGGAGCTGGTGCCTGGACACAAGGTGACCTGTATACTGTCTGTCCCCACGTTGTCGTAGACATACAGTCACACATCGTGGCTCTGCTCTGGAAACTGGAGAGAAGCCTGTAAAGCAAGGTCATGTGGCGAAGCAGGGAAAGCCAGATCCAGGTTCAAATCCTGGTTCTGCCTCTTACTAGTGAGACCTTGGTCAAGACGGTCAACCTCGCTGAGCCTCGAGCATCTCTTCTGTAAAATGGGGGTGGGTGATACCACCTATACAGTGGAGGACTGCTTTGAGGATAAAATTTTAAATAAATAAAAGGTGGTATAAACATTCTAAATGTCTACCAACGTGCCCAAAGGTCCCTAAACCCAAACCAAACCCATTATGGTTGAGTACATTCCGATGAACAACATTGTGACTGTTCGGCCAATGCTCAATCCACAGTGCCACCTTTGAAGGGCCGTAGGTGATGTGGATTGGCTCAAGTTCAATTGCAACCCTAAAAGCTGGTGGTTCAAACCCATCAGTGGTCAAAAATAAAAAACACTTAAAAAACAAACAAACCTAAAAAGCGCACTGCCATCAACTCATAGTGACCCTACAGAGCAGGGCAGAACTGCCCCTGTGAGTTTCCTGGGCTGTAAACGTTTCCATGAGCAGAAAGCCTCATCTTTGTCCCATGGAGCGGCTACTGGGTTCAAACTGCTGACCTTGCGGTTAGCAGCCCAACTTGTAACCCACAACGCCACCAGGGAAGAAAAGGCCAAGTGGTTGGGTTTTGGCTAACATCGTAACCAAGAAGTGCCGGATACACATGGGTCTCGATGCATCGGAATACACTCAGCCCAAACCCACCACCACCGCTGTAGTGCCCAGAAGCTGTTAGGAACATCCGGTAGCACTGAATGAAAGGCAGCTGCTGTCCTGTCTGCCATCCTTCCAACAGTACCATCATTGTGCCCACCCCAGGAGATGACCCGGGAGCTCTGCCACCAGCAGGAAGCGCTGTGGGAGCTGCTGACCACGGAGGTGATCTACGTGGGAAAGCTCAAGGTCATGACAGATGTGAGTCTCCCCCAGGCCCAGCCTGGCCCCATCCACCTCTCTCACACTGTCCCCCATTCTCTGGGGAGGGGCACACGATGCCAGGCAAGCCTCTTGACTGCAGACCTGCCTGGGGAGTGGGGAGAGGAGCGGGCAATACTGAAGGTAGGCATGGGGGACATTGAAGGGGTCAGCTGGGACGCTGAGAAACATGGCGTCGGACTCTGAGACCCTCGCTCCTCTCCCTGTGTCTAGCTCCTAGCCGCCGGGTTGCTGAATCTGCAGCGTGTGGGTGTGCTGATTGACGTGAGTGGGAGCCAGAGGGAAGGAGCCTGGGCCCAGGAAGTGAGGGGTGGGCTCCCAGAGAGTGCCTCCTGGCTGCCCAGTCTGATTTCCCACCCCCATTTTCTACCCACCCGACACTTCCCCTTGCTCTAGACCCCAAATAGACCTGGGATCCCCAGAACAGCCCACGGCAGCCACAGCAGCTGAAGGGAGGGCTGGGACCCTCGGAGTCTCCACGCCCACTCTTGGACTCAATCAAGCCTCCTACACCCTACCCCGCCCCAGTCCAAACTTAGGGGCCCTCCCATGCCCACAGCTGGTGCTTCCTGATGACCAGCCTGCTGAAGACATCCCTACTACTCCCCGCTCCAGGTGTCTGCAGAGACCCTCTTTGGAAATGTCCCTAGCTTGATCCGAGCCCACCGGAGCTTTTGGGAAGAGGTATTGGGGCCCACCCTGAAGGAGACGCGTGCTTCAGGCCAGCCTCTGGACCCCGTCGGCCTGCAGAACGGCTTCCTGTCGGTGAGGCCTGGGGGAGGGGTCCTGTCCATGGCACTTGCCTATGTGACCGGAATATGCCTCTGAGACTCGAGAGACCCACGGGGCACAGCCCCTGCCCTAAAATGATCCCTCCATCCCTGCCCCTCCCTCTGCCAATATGCCCTCTGTTACAAATGTCCTTCAGTCTTTGGTGGGGTGGGGGCGCAATGAGAATGCAGCTACACTCTTAGAATAAAAGCTCAGGATGGGGGAGGCATGCATTGTCAGACAGCTGGGGGCAAGTATGGGGCATCAGTGAGGAGAGAGACAAGGCTACCTACTCCCCTGAAGAGTGGCCGCCTCAGAAACCCACAGGGGCACTTCTAGTCTGTGCCATCAGGCCGCTGTGAGCCAGCGAGCTGAGGAGTTTGGTTGTTTTAGAAGCAGGAGGACAGGTAAGGCCGTAGGGCACTAGAAGCAGGGAGAAGAGATGCGAGGGTGTCGTCCCCTTTCCCCCCCACGCAAAGAGACTGTGCCTGCTGAGTCGTGCCCTGGGTTGGGGTGGAGAAGTGGGGAACCGTCTCCCAGAAGCTTCCATCGGAGCAGGGTTTCTGGACAACCCTCAGGTTACCCCACACTCACACACACCTACTACCCACCCACTGCGGGGCGAAAGGGGATCTGCGGTGGCCTGAAAGTGTTCCAGCTGAATTATTGATGGCGGGAGAGGGGGGAGTAAGGTCAGTGCAGCACGGCCGGGATTGTGGGTAGAAGGGGCTCAGGCAGCAGTAACGGGTGTCTCCTCCCACCCCCACCCCACCCCGACTGCCTTGGAATCCAGAGAGGGGCCAGGAGTTTGGGAATGGCTGGGGCTGAAGGAGGGTCTGTTCGAGGCCCTCCCCACCCACCTTGCTGCCATGCTCTGACGTCAGAGCCTGGGTTCCCTGGCCTCCTTCCTCCTGCTGCCCCTGCCCACCATCTTTGTCTCTCTAGTTCGGCCAGCGGTTCCAGCCCTACGTCCAGTACTGCCTGCACGTGAAGCAGACCATGGCTTATGCCCGGGAACGGCAAGACAGCAACCCTCTCTTCCAGCTCTTTGTGCAGGTGGGAAGCGGGGGGCCCAGGGAGGCTGCGGGGTGATCCCAGACCACCCCGTCTCCACAGTCTGTGGCTAGGCTGCGGGCTGCGTTCATGCTGCAGCGGGGCAAGCAGGCTCCTGCAGCCTCCTGACCGCCGGCTGCCTCCCACCCCGCCCCCCTTCCCGGGCAGTGGTGTGAGAAACACAAGCGTTCGGGGAGGCAGACGCTGGGTGACTTGCTCATCAAGCCCCATCAGCGCATCACCAAGTACCCGCTGCTGCTCCAGGCGGTGCTCAAGAGAAGTCCCGAGGCGCGAGCCCGAGAAGCCCTGAAGGCCATGGTAGGAACTCCACTGGACCCGGACCCCTGGGAGTTGGGGGCTGGTGAGTGGGCACTGACGGGGATCCCTCGAGGGCCGCCACCTCTTTCTGCCTGCACACAGGCAGGCTCAGCCTGTGGGTGCTTGGGTGGGCTCCTCCCATGGCCCCTCTCCCCTCTAGATCGTGGCAGTGGAGTCCTTCCTGCGGCACATCAATGGGCAGGTCCGGCAGGGCGAGGAGCACGCCAGTTTAGCGGCCGCCGCCCAGCGTATTGGGCCTTATGAGGTGCTGGACCCCTCCAGTGACGAGATGGAGAAGGTGAGAGAGGACAAAGGAGGACAAGCGAGGCCCAGGAAATGGGTGGGGATACAGAGGGCGCTTGGGCACCACCACCCTGGCTCCTCTGGGTGGGAGGGCCCAAGGGACATTGTTCAAGAGAATAAGAAGGTGCTGGGGCACTCGGTCTCTCTCCAGGAGGGTAAGAGTGGAGAGGAAGGTCCTGGGGTGGAACAGCCGGCCACCCTCGGCGGGATTTTGAGGACAAGGCCTGCCCACCCGCTGAAACCTCTCCCCTCGGTGCCCCTCAGCACCTGCGTCCCTTCTCCACCCTGGACCTGATGGCCCCCATGGTGGGGGTTGCTCCCGAGCACACCAGGCAGCTGCTGCTGGAGGGATCCGTGCGAGTGAAGGAGGGACGAGAAGGCAAGGTGAGGGGGGGAGGGCAGGAGGAAGTGTCCAGAGAGAAGCGAGGGATGATGGGAGCCAGGAAGCAGGAAAGCTGGAAATAGAGTAGAGGCGTGTGTATATGTGTGTGTCTCTGTGTATGTGTGCATGTGCATTTGTGTATGTGTACATGTGTGTATGTGCATGTGTGTGTTTATGTGTATGTATGTGTGTAATGTTTGTATATGTGTAATGTGTGTGCACATGTGTGTACATGTGTGTAGGTGTGTTTGTGTATTTGTGTGTGTGTGTGTGTGTGTGTGTGTGTGTTGAAAAGACACCATGCCAGCTATGACCCTGAGCCACCTATCTGCCTAGCCCATGAAGTAAGAGGGTGGGTCAGGCTCTAGCACCCCATGGTTTGTGGCTTGCCTGTTGTGTTTGCACGCATACATGCCCACCCATGCAGGAGCACTCGCCCTGGCTGGCCCCTCCCCTGCCCCAGCTGACTCCAGTCTGTATCCCCTGCCCTCCAGCTGGATGTGCACTTGTTCCTCTTCTCTGATGTGCTCCTGGTCACCAAGCCCCAGCGCAAGGCAGACAAAGCCAAGGTCATCCGCCCCCCACTCATGCTGGAGAACCTTGTGTGCCGGCCACTCCGAGACCCCAGTATGTCTAAATGGCCATTGATGGCCTCCTCCTTCCTTCTTCTTGGCAAGGGAGGGAGGGAGGACCAGGAGGGGGATCCGGGAAGGCCTGGGCCTTGAAGCAGACCTCTCCTCTACCCAGACAGCTTCCTGGTGATCAGCCTCACTGACTTCCAGTGTGTGTCCAGTGCCCTCATTGTGCACTGCCCCAGTTCCACAGACTGTGCCCGGTGGCTAGAGAAGACCCACCAGGCCCAGGTATGTGACCCAGAGCGCAGGGGCAGGTGTGTACCAGTTCCGGGGCGCAGAAATGGAGCATGAGGGTGGGGGGAGAAGAGGAGGAGGTGGTGGGAAGGAGGGAGAAGCTCCAGTGGATGCAGAGTCAGGCTGAACTGTCAACCATCCCAGACGCCCTCTCAAGGGAGACACAGCCTTGACCACCCTTTGGGGGGGGAAGAGAGCTTGGGTCAGCTACCGTGCTAGTCGCACACCAAGCCTCCTCCTTGAAACAAGGCCCATTCATCTTCCATTGATGGGCACTCGGTGCAGGCCCTGCCTTGGGTGCGAAGGAATTAGAGAGAAATGAAGTAGCAATCCTTCCCTCAAGGACGATGCTGCCAGCTTAGCTGGCCAAGTCAGCATCCATACGAGTCACAGTGGAGCAGGGAGGAAGGATACTCAAGATGCGAAAAATCGCATGCACAAGGGGCCTCAAGCACACAGCAGCTGTGTGCCGAGAAAGCCACGGGCACGGTGGCGCGGTGCTGCTGCTGCTGCTGCTGCAGCGTGAAGTGCACAGGTGGACACAGCAGGAGACTGTCAGGGTCAGTAGCTCCGCTCCATCGCACTCATGATCTGGGTGCCATGCTGTGGAGTTTGACCTTCGACCCACAGCTGACACGGAGCCCATAAAGGTGTTAAGCAGAGGCGTGACACAAAGAGATGCATTTGATAGAAAAGCTAGAGGAGTTCGAAAGATGAGAGGTCCAAATGATGGCCAGAGAAGGGAGAAGATTTGAGGTGGACGGTGAAGGATGGGAAAGACAGCAGAAGAATCAGGGAGCAGTGGGGCTCGTTTGTTTGGGAGGACATCGATGAGGTCTGTGGAGCAAAGGCGTTGGCATGAGAGGGCACAGAGAGGCCAGCTTCTACAGGCCTTGAGAGCTACCGCAGCGTGCAGACTGGGCAGGAGCGGATGGAACTGGATCGGTAAGAGAAGAGTACCATCCATTCTAAAGCAAGGGGATGGCAGTGAAATCGGTGTGTTGCGTTTTGATGGGTTTTTCATTGTTGTTGATCAAAGAAGCAGTGTGGCTTGATGGGCTCGAGGAAGGAGAGAGACTGGTTGCCAGAGATTTCTTGTCTTCATTGGCTGTAAAGCATTGAAGGTTCAGGCTTTTAGGGAAGCTTTGACCCCAAAAAGCTAAAGAAGAGGAAAGAGGCAGGGGGGATTTGGTGGTTGAAAGCCAGCCAAGAGTGAACTCGGAACTTTTTAAGTTCACACACCAGTTCTGGCACTTTCTCACTCTGTGACCCGAGGTCACCATGAGTGCCGATTTCCTCGGCTGCAAAACAGAGATAAGCAAACACCAGCTCTTGCCTCCCAAGGAGGATGCAAAGAAATCATTCGGGTGAAGCAGGCAGCTAGGCGTCTCTAAGGCAAAACCAGTGCCCCCATCTAGTCGGTGTCCACTCATAGTGACCCTATAGGACAGGGTAGAACCACGCCTGTGAGTTTCTGAAACGAAAACTCTTTGTGGGAGTCGAAAGCCTCGTCTCTCTCTCACAGAGCGGCTGGTAGTTTCAAACTACAGACCTTGCAGCTCGTGGCCCAACTCGTAACCACTATACCACCAGGGCTCCATGAATCCTCAGCGGCTCAAGTAACTGAAGGACAAAGAGGCCAGTCCACCTCCTGAGCTTGCTGCTTGAAAAACTGGATGGGCAATGATGCCACAGACAGAAATGAGATACAGCCACACACTCCCTAAGGCCTAATCGGGCAACACCCCCACCATATGTATAATGAGGTTATAATGACCATCAGGGTTCAGAAATCCCCATTAAGGAAGAAATCCCCATTAAGGACGCCATAGATGGAAATGGACGTAGCAAACACAAGGGCTTCCCCGCATGGCACCTGTATATCATGTCTCTTGTATACAAAGCGATTACACTGCTGGGCATATAAGGGTACAGGACCTAAACACTGTATTTTTATGCAGCTATTACGCACGCTGTCTATATTTGTTTGCCAACCACTCCCTGCTCGCGAGGTATTTTTATCATAAGATTTATGCTAATTCTTTTCGGTTGCTATCAACAATAATAATAAAAGCATAGTGCACTTGTACCTGCAGAGTTGGGAGAGGAGTATTGGCAGACAACTGCAGAAGACTCGGGTTAGTCGAGTGGAAATAGCGTCAAGCATTATGCATCATGTCCTGATGGCCGTGGTGCAGTGAGCACAGTCGGCCGTGGTACTGATGGATGCCTGGACTGTGCAGTCTGTCACTACTTTGTGGGTCGCACAAACAACGCCCCGCTATAACCAACACACCGCCAGCGCTCTCCGCTCCTTTCATCATTTTAAAAAGCAGACCGCATCGTCACCGTGTGCGCTTCGGCTCATCGGCCGCAGCATGGCACTTGAACCTGGCTCATCGCTTCTGGCTGTGACAGCCTTCCCTCTCTGCTTACTTTTCTTTCAAAAAAACCTTCCTGCAAAGGGCCTGGTGGCACCCCAACACAGCAAAGCCAGAGCAGCCAGAGGCCACGGAGAAGCAGCTATGTGGAAGTGAAACCAGAGGACGGGAAGCTGGAAGCCCAGCGAATGCGATTGCAGAGTGAGATCGGGGCGTGTTTGTACAATTCCCCCATGGCACAGCATCCTGTTTCTCAGAACGGGCCCTGGCTGTGAAGCTGGGGCACGGCTGTCCTTAGAAAGGAAACCTGTTTGCTCCGTTCTTGCTTCCAGGGAGGGGTGAGGTGAGGTGGTAACGTTCTGTCTTTAAAAAGAAGCACCTTGAAATTGCGGTCGTGGGCGATAGCCAACAAGAGATATGGCACGGAGTTTTGGGAAATGTGGAGACAAGGGCCAGGGGTTCGGGTGAGAAATGAGGATGAAAGGCAGACCCTCTCAAGAGTGGGTGTCCACCAGCCCTGGGGGGCTGCCGCTGACTTGGAAAACTCAACAAGACGGTGGTGGTCCCCCGGAAGCCCAGGTGAGCCCAGCCTGATGATTCTGAGCCTGGAGCAGGGGACCAGAGTGGAGGGGTTATCCGTGGCTGACTTGATGAAGGTGGTCTCCCATGAACCCCCGCCCCAGGGTCAGCTCTCTGCTTGCCAGCCACCTTCTCTCTGCCTGCTTCTCCCGGAGCCGAAACACAGCTCCCCCGTGTGGCAGCCAGGCTTCCCGGATGGAGCAAAGGACACCATTCTGATGGCCAGGCAGTCCGCTCTCACTGAAGAGAGAACAACCAACCCTCATTAGTGCTCCCAGGACAGCAAGTGGGGGTGCCCTTTCCTGACAGGCACCCCTCTTCTCTTTACTATTCTTCCCTTTCTCCCCCTGCATCCACTCCTAGTGCCGCCACACCCCTACTCCTCACCTTCTCCTCCCACCCCTCACAGCACAGCCAGAAACAAAGCCCCTGGCCATGGAGTTGTGGTTCACGAGTGGGTTTGCTCACCAGAAGGTCGGCAGTTCAAAATCACCTGAACTCCTGGCCCATGTTTTCACATTTCCCAGTCTGGAAACCACCTGGCCCGCGGGAGAGAGATGAAGCGCTCTCTTCCTATAAAGATGTACAGTCTCAGGCCGGTCCTACTCTGTCGGCTGGTCTGTGGGCTGTGCCGTGAGTCGGAATCGACTGGGTGGCAGTGGGTATGGTGACCCCACGTGCGCTCAGGCAGAATACCCCGCGGTGTCCAAGTCTGCCGTTCCAGGAGCAGAGCCGGCCTTTCAACAGCCGCAGCACCTCTGGGTGTGTAGTTCCCAGCTGTTCACACCACCCAGGGGCTCCTTAGAACCCCCGTGGGGCTGTTAAAGATTGCAGGTGTTTCATTGTGCAAATAATTTAGCGCCCCTCCTCTCCCCCCATTCCTCAGCTCACCTCTCCCCGTGGCAGGCTAGTGAGGGGGAAAGAGGTCACTTTGTCCGCCCAACACAGCAGTCCACTCTTGGCCAAACAAAAATCCCGGGAGCTTTGACAGGAGCGTGCTACCTTTCTTGTCTCACCGTGCATTCTTTCCGTCGTCCTACCCTCTGTCACCCTCCGTCTCTAAGCTGAAAAGCCAAGTGGCTCACCTACTGTCCCCCTGCATAAGGCAGTCGCCTCCTCGGATCAGGACTTTTTCTCCCCTTACAGAAAGGTGGATGCAGGCTTACTCGGAGCGGGCCAACCCCCGGAGGCTCGGCCTTTAGAGAAAATTAGTTTCTCCAGGAGGAAAACAGTGCATCTCGGCTTCTTCCGTTAAGCGGGTGGTAGGAAGCAAAGGAACCCGCGAGGGGAACAAAGAAAGCTGTCAGAGGCAGGCCAGGGGATGGGAGGAGACGCAGAAAATGGCAGCTGAGAGGAGAGGCTGGAGCCACAGCCAGCTCTCTCGTCCTTATCCGTGCTCTTGAGCAAGTTGCTTCGCATCTCTCTGCCTGCTGCCCCGTCTGGGGAACTGCAGCCAGGATGGTCAGCACCCTGCAGGGGTCCTCTCACTGCCACCGAGTCAATGCCCACTCGTAGCGGCCCGATAGGACAGGGAGAACTGTCCCTGTGGGTTTCCGAGACTGGAATGCATTACAGGAGCAGAAAACCCCGTCCTTCTCCCAAGGCACAACAGGTGGTTTTGAATTGATGACCAGAGCAGGACAAACCACCAGGGCTACCCATGCAGGGCAGGAGAGGGAATGACGTCTGTCCATTGCTTAGCACGAAGCCCTGTGCTGGACGGGCTCTGTCACCATCCGCGTCCCTGACCGGCCCACGGAGGCCTGGTGATCGCCTTGCCAAAATGCAGTCTTTGGAAAGCCTGTGCAGCCCAGTTCTGCTCTGGCCCACGCGGCATCACCGAGACGCCGTGCCAGCTGGATTGTGCGGCCCGGAAGCCGGTTCCAGGCCAGTGACGGGGGAGTTGGGGTGGAATCTGGGGGGAGTTGGGGTGGAATCTGGGAGCGGGTCCAGGACCGCAGGGAGAGGGGCATTCCCCCTCTCAAGGCCCAGGCCCCCAGCAGGGGACAAAAGCAACAGACGCCCTGGGGACAGCTCTCGATCCCTTTTCCTACCTTTGGGGGAGGTGGGAGTGGGGCCACATTCTTGCTCAGGTGAAGTGTCCTCTTCCTTACCCATCTTCATGGCTCCTTGTCCCCAACTACAAGAATAGGCGAAAAAGAGTCCCCGGGCTAGAGAGGCATCGGGTAGCAGAAGACCCTTCAGACAGGGCCTGGCCTGACCCCCAGGCCCACACCCCACCCCCTCGGCTCACATCTCATCCCCTGCTGCTTCTCAGGGTGGGCAGGGGCCAATTTTCTCACAGACAGACCTTCCCCCCAGGGCTCTCCCACACACCACCCCTAACCTGGACCTCCCAAGCACAAGATCAAAGGGGTGTCCTCCCAGCAGGACAAACTGGGGCCCCAAGTACAGTCCTTTCCATACTCCCAGGTGGACCCCCTCTGAGTGTCCTGCCCCACGCTCCATGCTGAGGGGGGAGATGAGGCCTGGCACAGGTGTGCTGGTGGCCCCACCCCTGCTCTGGCCATCAGACCAAGCCTTGGGGGGGATCTTCACATTGCTTTGTCACTCCTGGGGCCCAAGGGACCAAAGAGGTCCAGGAAGAATTGGAAACAGGAGCCTGCTACCTTTTTCCTATTCCTAACCCACCCCCACCCCACCCCAGTGTTTCTGGGAGGCTTTGGTGATGTTCACATACCTTAGGCTGGAAGACATTCAGATTATGAGGGGCATCAACAAGTTCATGGGAAAATTCCACTCTCTTCTAGTCTCATTTTTCCACAAACGGTTTGAAGCCCCTCCTATTTAACTACCAGCGTGCTGTGGGCTTCAACCAATCAGAGTGGCGCGGGTCAGGCCTCTGCTGTCTCTTGCTGAGTTGGCTGTAGTTGTTGGAGCTTGGGGCAGGAAAGTGAGTCTGGGAGGGTTTCCATCTTTCAACCCTGATATAGCCATACCTGGGAGTACTGAGCCAGCAGTGCCCCCCAGCCACTGCCACCAGGCCCCTTTGCCAGGCCGCCACCTACATCAGTCAGCAAACACACACACCCCTTCTGCTCCCTTTCCTCCTCTCTGCCTTGTGTAGCTTGTCCCTCAAGGCTGCACCTTGAAAATCCCTAGTTACTAAACTAGACTCAGCGAGCAGGGCCCAGCCCCGCTCTGATTCTCCCTCACCCTTGACTTTGAGCAAGTCCCCACAGGTAGGCTGCTAACCTCAAGGTCTCGTCGCTCCGTGGGAGGAAGTGGAGGCTTTCTACTCCCGTGAAGGTTTACCACCTCGGAAACCCACAGGGGCAGTTCTACCCTGTCCTCTGGGGTCCCTAGGAGTCAGATCTCGGTCCTGAAGGGTCGCCAGGAGCCGCAATTGACTTAACATCAGTGAGTTTGGTCTGGAGTGTTCAGGAGCTTTGGTGGCACTGTTGGGCAGGCATTAGCCTGCTAACCGCAAGGTTGACAGTTCAAACTTGCCAGGCACTCCTGAGGAGAAAGCTTTTACAGCCTCAGAAACCCTATAGAGGGTCACTACAGGTTGGGATTCACTTAATGGCAGTGAGGTTTGGGGAGATTACGTTTTCTTCGGTACAATCTGGTAATAGGGTGGAAGATGCAGTGGGACTGGGGTGTGCCCCAGTCAACCGCACGCACAGGAAAGGTGCTTGGGAACCAGCTTCCTGAGAGTCACTCTTCTACTCTTGGATGTCAGTTTTTATTACCTGGATGAACATGTTGAGGGAGGAAAAGAAAACAGTTCATGCCTCTGGGGACAGAGCTGCCTTCATCCCTTGGAAGGGCAGCAGAGTCCAACTTGAGGGCCGAGGCCCAGGAAGGGGGACAAAGATGTTCTTCAAGGAGCAATCGGGGGCCAGCACCATTCGATCCAGGTGGGCCTCCTGAAGGAGGGGGCAGACCTGATAGAGGACAGAACAAGCAGGAAGAACTGTGCAGGAAGGAGGGGGCGTTCTGACCACCTGCCCCATGCCGGTACCTGCTTGGCTGTCCCATGACCAACCGGAGCACAAACCCACTTCTAACTGCAAGTTACTTCACCTTTAGATCGCGGTTTCTCGGTAGTAAAGTAGGGGTGAGAAAAATAATACCTGCTTCCTAAGACTCATAAGATAAGGTGTAAATGATTTTTTAAAAAACCCACTTCATACCATGCCTGGCTTATAGCTGAGAGCTCTTCCGTAACGCAAGTCTCCCCACCCCAGGCCGCCCTGCAGAAGCTGAAGGCTGAAGAGTACGTCCGGCAGAAGAGAGAGCTCCTGGCCCTCTACCGGGACCAGGAGTCCCCGAGCCCCAGGCCTTCCACTCCCTCCCTGGAGGGCTCTCAGAGCAGCACCAAGGGGAGGTAAGCAGGGAGACTGCAGGCTAGGGAGCAAGAAGGAACCACTAGGCCAAGATACAGCATCCCAGCACTGGGTGGATTGGAACTAGATTGGGGAACCCAGGTTACAGGCTGGAGACAAGTCGATTGGCACCAGCCATGTGAAGGATCGAGTGGGGCAATGCATGAGGTTACCCCGACGAGGGCTGGCATAGGGTGGAAAGAACATGCAAATGATGCCAAGTGGCCAGAGAAGAGCCAGCTGGCTCCCAGGCCTGGGCTGGAGAGTGAAGGTGAGTGTGGGCTTAGAGAATGGCCAGGAAGTCCAGAGACGCTCACCCAGGATCACACACGGCTGCTTAGCCACATGGCTGCTATGGAGGGCAAAAGAAGCCACGGCTGAGCGATAACTTTCGGTGAGCTCCGAGCACCCCAAACTCACTGCCACAGTGGATCCTGAGCCACAGCGACTCTATACGATACAGTAGAACTGCCCCTGAGGGATTCTCAGACTGTAACTCTTTACGGGAGTAAAAAGCCTCCTCTTTCTCCTGTGGAGTGACTGGTAGTTTCAAAGTGCTGACCTTCAGGTCCGCGGCCTAATGAGTAACCCACTGTGCCCCAGGGCTCCTTGGCTCGGTGGCAATGCATGTCTTTAAGGAGCTGACAGTCTAGGCAAGGAATGAGAAAGATGATCACACAGGGCTGTGTACAGGTGATGCCGAAATAGGCCCAGAGGGGTCATTTCTAGGAGGAAGGGCCAAGGGAGACTTCTTAGCCTTGAACTTGACCCTTGGGCCTCTGACTGACCATTCACCGTTAACCATAGGATTCCTGAGTTTTCAGCCGTTGTCCCCCACCTGGTGGTGACCGAGGACACAGATGAAGATACACCCTCGGTGCCCCCCGAGGATGCCTCAGACTCTGGCTATGGCACTCTGATCCCAGCCTCCCCTAGGGAGCCCCCCAGCCCTCTGAGCCGGCTACGCCAGCGGGCCCTTCGGCGGGACCCTCGCCTCACCTTCTCCACCCTGGACCTCCGAGAGGTTCCTTTACGCCCCCAGAATCCTGACTTCCAAGCCCCCCATCGCCGAAGCGCCCCAGAACTGCCAGGGGACAGCATCCGAAGAGGAAGCAGCCTTCCCAGGGGAGACCCTCCCTCCTGGTCTGAGGAAGAGGATGGAGCCCCAGAGGGAGGGAATGTGGTGGTGGAAACCCTACACAGGGCCCAAATTCGGGACCAGCTCCCCCGCCCCCCAACCCACGTGGACTCTGCCGGGGAAAGCCCCTGGGACTCCTCGGCCGATGAAGAGGAAGAGAAGACCCCCTCCTTGAACCACTTCCGGGCTGAGAACATGCTCAGGGAGCTCCGGGAGGAACTGGCCAGCCAGAGGATTGAGGGGTCCCCGGAGCCCAGGCGCAGCCAGCCCCGGAAGCTGACGCTGGCACAGCTGCAGAAGATGCGAGCATCACACATCATACAGCTGGACACCCCCACGTCCACATCGTAAGTGCAGAAGGGACGCTGGCCCGAAAGGGCAGTGGGGAGGCAGAGCAGGGGCTGTGGGAGGAAGGGTCCATAGCCTGGCTTCTCACCACCACCACCAGCTCTCACCTTTTGTCTTGCCTAACGGCTACTTCCTTCCTTTGCAGAGAGGCGTGAGTGATGCCCAAAGGACCTTGGGCCTTTCCCCCAGAGGAAATCTTACCCAAGAGTGCTGGTCACTCCCCCACCCCTGGCCTCTACCTCAAGGACCACACCTTCGGCCAAGAAGCCTGGCCCGGGCACCCTGCTCTCTGTACTCTGTGGGCTGTGGGGATCAAGAACTGTCAATTCATGTATCAAAACACCCGAGTCCCACATAAAGTTGTACATTAAAAATGTCAGCCTGTCACTAAATGAGGGCATGGGAGAGGGGGAGGGGAATGACAGCGGGGTGGCAAATAGGGAGTCGCTGTCTCAGTGCGACCCTACAGGACAGAGTAGAACTGACCCCCGGGTCTATCTTGATGGCAACAGATCAGCCGGTCTTCTCTCCTGCAGAGCCTCCTGACTGATGGCAGAGCGCTTCCTCATGCCTTCCCAGCGTTCCTTTCGCGGTCCCCATGGCGTAGAGCTTGTCCCATCCACCTGCCACGATCCCACAGCAACCACAGAGACCACGCCTCCCAGGAACAGTTTTAATTCAGAATTTTAGTGTATTTACATAAGTCCGCCTTGCTGGCTAGAAGCCCCATGGTTGTGCCTTGGGACAGTTCAGCTTACTCTGTGCATATCCAAACTGGGGCAAGGGCGCTAAGACTCTATTAGTGTAACAAGACTGATACAAAACGGCCAAACTACTGTGCAATGGGCGCCCCGAGCAGCCCTGCAGCGCCTCTTATGCCTGCAACCACTCACTGGGCACCCACAGCACACACTCTCACGCTCAGTCTCCCACTCAAGCACACGCACATGCACACGCACATGCACACCTCTCACACACACCACTGAGAAAAATATACACACGGATGGAGAAGCATCCGTAAAATACAACTCATGACTTTCCCTCTGCAGAATAAAAGAGGACCAAGAGGGTTTCTCCCCGGCCATTCTTCCAGGGCTAACTGGGGCCAGAAACAACTGTCCCCAGGTGGGCGGCATGGCCTCCCAGGGCAGGTGTGGCCCCAAGGACAGCAGGGGCGTGGCCTCACCGGGCCAGGTCGGACCCGACAACAGCAACGCCACCCAGAGCGTCCTCAATCTTCTCCAGGCAGCCACGCAAGTCCATGTCGCTGAGCACTCGGCCCAGCAGCTCCAGTGTGGCCTCACGCCGTGGGGTCTGCTGCCGCCAGGCCTCCAGCATGCTGTAGGACGCTTCGCGCACGTAGCGCCCGTTCTGCATCTCCAACCGCTGGATGTCATGCTCGCTCAGCCCCATGCGCCTCATGAACTCCTTCCAGCGTGTGGGCGGCACAGAGTCCACCACAACATATAGAGTGGCCGGGTCACCTGTGAGGGGACCCCGAGTGATGAGCCTCCAGCCAGCTGGAAGTCTCCCCTCCCTGCGCATGCGCTCCGGTCCCACTGGGCACTCACCTGGGAACAGGTCCTGTGAGCTGTCCTCGGCCTTCTGGGAAGGGTTGGGGACCTTGGTGGGGGTCATGGTGGAGGCAGGGGAAGCAGTGAGGATGGGGCCAGCCTCCTGGTGGAGTGCAATCACCTCTCTGGGAGGAGGTACATTTCTCAAATTGGACCACTCATTGGAGAAGGTGGTGCCGGGGGTGGGGCTGAAGATGTGGGTGGGGCTGAAGCCAGGGGTGGGGCTGAAGCTAGGGGTAGGGCTAAAGCCAGGGGTGGGGTTGAAGCCGGGGGTGGGGTTGAAGCCAGGGGTGGGGTTGAAGCTGGGGGTAATGGGCTTTCCAAGAACATGTTCCAACTCCCCCTGAAAGGGAAAAGACACCTGAGTTAGTGGGGGCCGGGAGGCACAGCCCAGCCCTCTGGAGGCGTGGTGAGGCTAAAGCAAATGAGGGCTACGCCAGGTTGACGGCCAGTGATGGGTATTTCAGGTAGGTTCCAGGGAGAGATTTCATCTCACCTCTTTTCCATGTGTCCGTTTGCCACAAACTGCAAGATCAAAAACAGAAAAAGAAACAACGAAGTCACGACATGGCCTTCACTTCCCCTGATAGCTCCCCCTGCCCTCCACTTCTAATCGCCCCCTGGGGCTGGGTATGGGGATTTGTGGTGACACGCTTCAGGGCCTTTGTGCCCCCAGGGACGAGAGAACCACTGGCACACCATGACCTCCCCAGCCATCAGGGACCACCACTTCCTGCCAGCGCTCCGTGGCACCTAGCCTCATTTTGCTTCCTGCTCGGTGGCTACTCTCCAAGGCCCCTCCCAAGCCCCCAACCAGCACCCTTTTCTCTCCCCAAAGCCCCACTCACCAATGGAGTAGAGCTTTGGCTTCCACCGTTGGTAGTGGCACATCATCCCAATGAAGACAAGCAGAAGGCAGAGACCAAAGAGGATGACCAGGGGCAAGAGCACGGCTGTGCCTGGAGGCAAAGTGGCCCAGCAGTCAGCGAGGGAGCTGACCCAAGGTCAGGGATTCAGGGGAGGGCAGGTGCGTCTGGGCTACTTATCCTCACCTGCATCCGGAGGGCCCGTCACAGATTCCGTTGGGGGCAAGCACAGCTTCTTGCACTCCATGTGATGCTTACAGCTAAAGGGGCGGAGGACAACAGAGAGTCAGCAGGGTCCAGCCATGGGAGGAACGCAGGGGAAGGGCCACAGGCAGCTGGGAATTCTTTGCTTTACAAACATTTTAACGGTCTGGTAAGAAAATGGAATTTGATGATCTCTCTGGACGGCCAGACAGAGGGATGACCAGATCTCACGGTAGAATCGATGGATTTTAGAACCGGAAGGGATCGAGCTGGGGGAAACCATGTAGAAACAAGAGTGGAGAGCAGTTATCTTCTAGATGGGGTCAAAAGATAAGGGGCTTTCCCCACAAATGTTTTAAAGCCCCCTCATTCGTTGTCAGGCAATGTCAAGTGTCTCCAGACAAGTCATTTTAACATCTTATTCTTTAATGAATAAGATAGGAAGGGAGCATACTTTTCAGAATTGAGGAATCAACAGGATCGAACCTAGAAACTTACAGCCATTGAGTTGATTCCAATTCTAAGTGACCCTATTTAGCTTCTGAGACTAAATCGTTAGGGGAGTACCAAAACTCCCTGCCATCGAGCCCATTCCAGTTCATAGCAAACCAAGGGTAAATCCCCTCAGGTTTTCTGAGAGTCACTCTCTTGTCTTTCTCCCAAGGAGCACCTGGTGGTTTCCAACGACTGGCGAAATGACATACAAGCGCTCTATATAGAGCAATCGGAAGCCCGATGTCTTCACCCCACTTCAGGCGACCCTGTGTGCGTCAGCACAGAACTGTGCTCCTGAGGATTTTCAGTGGCTGGTTCTCCAGTGGACTAGCAGGTCTTCTGAGATGCCACTGGATCGACTCAACCCTCCACTCAGCACATGAGGCACGTACAGCCCCCAGGGAGCCCAAGACACAGGCCCAAACAACACCCACTGCTATTGAGTCCATGCCCCAGAGATGGCAGCTGTTACTGTCATCTTTTATCCTGTTTTACATCATGAAACTCCTCTGACAAAAGCGGCTCAAGGGCTTTTGCTCAGGACAGCACTCGCAAGTACACGCTGTGACTTTAAGAAGAGGGGTCAAATGTGAGCATTTTTGAAATACACATGGCCATTAGCTGCCATCCTCCCCGGTACTTTGGACATGCTCTCAAGAGAGACCTAGACAAAGGCAGCATGCTTGGTAAAGGAAACATTCTCATCCCAAACGCCCTGCCATCCAGTCGAGGCCGACTCGGCAACCCTGCAGGACAGGGCAGAACTGCCCCCATGAGTTTCCCAGCCTCTCTCTCTCTCTCTCTCTCTCTCTCTCTCTCTCTCTCTATCTATCTATCTATCTATCTATCTCAGGGCAGAACTGCCCCCAGTGAGTTTCCCAGCCTGTCTCTCTCTCTCTCTCTCTCTTTCACATTTAAGATTTTTTAATGTGAAGTCAGTCTTTATAGTTTTCTGTGAAGTTAAAGTCATTCTTTTTTTTCTTTTCTGTCATTTTATGGGGGGCTCATAGTGCTCTTATCACAACCCACATGAAACTGTAACTCTTTATGGGAGCAGAGCCTCGTCTTTCTCCCGCAGCGCGGCTGGTGTTTGCAGACCGCTGACTTTTCAGATCGCAGCCCACGTTAGTAACCGCTATGCCACCAGGGCGCCAGTGGTAAAGGGTCAGAAAAAAATAAATAAAGAGGAAGATGCTCCATTCAATGGATTGGCATAGTGGCTGCAACCGTGACCTCAGACACGGCAATGACTGTGAGGGTGGCGCAGGATCAGGCAGTGTTCTAGTCTGGTACACGGCACCGCTAGGAATCGGAGCCCCCACCCCCACCCCCACGCCCGGACAGCACCTGATCATAATAAAGGCAGCCAGAGAACGCCCTGAAACAAGCACATCTTCCCCTGTCGCTGAGAGCGGGGGGAGGGGGGCGGGCGCAGGAAGAGGACCTCCAGGAGGCGGGGCCCCTTAGGAGTCTAAAAGCAAGAAGAGCCATTTCACACTCACTTCCCAGCATCATGGTGAGAACCACACGGAACGGGTACAAAAGCTTGTTCAAGAAGTGACAAGGGGGGCTTGCTCAAGGTCACATCGTCGTTATACACCTAAGCTGGGGTTTGAACCCATGTCCTTTAACTCCAGAGGTCACAGAGTTTCTCTGTCCCACATTGAGAGGTCCTTCCAAAAGGCATCCAGAACAGGCCAGAAGGAGTGGGCATGTGTGTGGGGGGTGCAATTTGCATCTACATGGTAGGTACACGATCACCTCCTTAAAATCTTTTATCAACCAACAGCCAGAGTGTTCCAAAGAGAGCATCCTTGTCAATAAGAGCGTCCCTGTAAACTGGGTCTTGTGGAGGTCCTTGGGGGAAGAGGGAAAAAATGATGTGGACGAAGTTAGCTTTGCAGCGAAGTGTTTCTGTGGAACTTACACGTGGCTTGGCCATAGTCAGCCCCATTATGCATCAGACCTCCAGCTGTTTTCAGTGGGGGCGTTGCTGACAGGGAGGGTGAAGGTGGCTGGGAGACCTGACGTCACTTCCGTAAAAAGCTGCTCAGATGACCACCTGAGGGGACAGCATCCTGTACTAGAGGAGCCTGGGATTGGGAATGAGTATAAAGAGCTGGGGTACACACGGCTCTAGGATCCTGAGACTCGACTTCTGCATGTGCTCAACCAGACCTGCCTCTGTTGGAGGCTGTGGAGAGGGCCAGGTAAGAGAACAGGCATCGATCACAGTGAGTCCTGACATCCTGATGGTTACCTACGCGACTGCTAACGGAAAGCTGGTATTTTGGACCTATCTGCTGTCCCACGGGAGAAAGACCTGGAAATCCATCTGCTCCTGTAACGACCACAGCCAGGAATTCCTTGCACTCTTCCTTTCTAGGCTGGTCCCGGCAGCATGGCTCCCGAAAAGAAGGGCGGTGAGAAGAGCAAGGGCCGTTGGGCCATCAGCGAGCTGGTGACCAGAGAGGACACCATCCACATTCACAAGCGCATCCAGGGCCTGGGCTTCAAGAAGCGTGCCCCTCGGGCGCTCAAGGAGATGCGGAAGTTTGCCATGAAGGAGAAGGGGACACCAGAAGTACGAATCGGCACCAGGCTCAGCAAAGCTGTCTGAGCCAAAGGAATCAGGCACGTCTCATACCGTGTGCACTTGCTCGGGAAACGTAATGAGGATGAAGATTCCCCAAACAAGCTCTACCCATTGGTTACCTATGTGCCCGTCACCACTTTCAGACCCCTACAGTCAGTCCATGTGGATGAAAACTAGTGGCTGATGATCTAATAAAGGTTCTAAACTGCAAAAAAAAACACAGCCAGAAAAACCCTGAGAGGCAGGTCTACTCTGTCACATGGGGCCACAATGAGTGTGGGTTACACGTGTAGGCAGGATGAGGGACATCCTTCTGCCATGGTAAGCAAGTACCCATGCACAGCCTGGGCACCTGGACCCAGCGAGCACACGGGAGCTGCCTCGGTGGGCCGGAGGAGGGCGTGAGATGGTCCAGTGGGAGAGACTACATTGCACCGATTCTCAGAGGGCCGCGCGATATAAGAGGCACCACACACGTGCCATGATCTGCCAGTGAACCAAGGGCATCATCGCTGAACGCCCCGATCCACCCAGTCTCAGTGCCGGGAACTTCTGTTACCAAAGACTTCTTAAGAGGTGGGAGACAAGCTGGGCCTGGAGGGCTGTCTTGACACAAAATGCTTCCCACTTCATCAGTCGCCAGAATGCCCTGGAGGGTTTTTCTCTCTCTTGCCCCTGCTGGTGACTCTCCCCCAAGGCCACCCCGCCCCACCCTGCACCAGGCAGGGTACTCACTTGGAGCAGGGGATGCACTCTTTTCCCTTTAGGAAGAAGCCTGCATGGCAATGACACAAGGTGTCCTGTTCCTCCTGGCCTGTGGGGAGAAGAACAGTGCCGCTGAAGGAGAGTGACCGCCCCCCCCACACACACCACCTCCACCCCCCCACCCCCCACAGAGGGCAGGAAGGAAGGCCAAAGTGGAAGAGTGCTTAGAACTTAGCCAAAGAGGAGGACAGGACATGCTGCTCATGGGGAGAGGGTGCAGAGAGCAGCCGGGCCCTGGACACGGGGAGCCACACTCACAGGGGACCGCGATGGTGCCGTTGAGGCAGAGGCTGCAGTTCAAGCACTGGAATATGTTGTTGCCCGCATGATGGCTCCGGTACTGGTTCTTCCTGCAGCCGCACTGGGTGTTCTGTTTCACGGTGCAAGGAGAGAGCTCCACCTGGTTCATTTCTGGGGCAGGAAGAGAGAGGGCAAGTGCTGTGGGCACCGGGCCATTGTCATTCTCTTTGTGTTCCCCCCAACCCCTCCTCAGGCCTCCCCAGGCAGCTGGACAGCACGCACGCACACTCCCCCCACCCCACCCCAGCAGCAGCAGCAGCACGTTGGCACTTGCACAGGCACTCAGGCCTGCCAGTGTCTGCCTCCCGTAGAGCCCTCTCCCGCCCCAGGACGCACCTTTCCGACATACGCTGCAGCTCTGGCAGCTCCTTTCGTAGTTCTCCACGGCCGTGTAGGTGCCATGCTCACACTCCCTGCAGTCCGTGTCCCGCCCCGGGCTGGGGCAGTGATTGTACAGATAGGTCCCTGGGATGGGGTGTCAGGGTCAGTGTGCAGCTGAGCGCTCCAAGCAGAAGCCCTGAGCTAGGGAATCTGGCCAGGGCCAATTCCCTCAAGCCTCTGGGAGAGGAAAGGAGGGCACAAATCCCAGCCCAGGAAGGGGGCAACATGAAGGGGCTTGGAGAAACCTGGGTGTCAGACTATCTGGAAAATGCCCTGCTGGCTGAGTGGGCGAGGGGTGGACAGTTGCAACCCCCCAGCTGCTGGAGAGAGTCTGCTCCCAAGAAACTGCAACTCTCCGAAACTCAAGAGGGGCAGTCTGCTCTGCCCTCCTGGGTGGCTCCGAGTCAGGACCGACTCCAGGCCATGGGATCTGGGGGAAAGTCAAGGAAGCAAGGCCCACGACTGACGGCACCCATGGTGCCACGTCCTCCTACCTTTGTGGCACTTGGTACAGCAAATGGAACTGTTTTCAGGGTGGCTGTATTTCCCATGGGGACACGGATTATCTCTCTTCTCTCGGTCCCCCACCTGGGGGACCAGTCCAATCACCTCGGAGGGATATATTCCCACCAACAGAGCAAGGCCAAGGAGCACCTGCAGAAGAATCAGATCAGACATCAGGAGAGGAAGTCTTAGACACAACAAGGGCACACCCTCCCTGCTCAGGGCCTCTTCAGCCAGTAACACTCTTTTCCCAGGCCACGCGCGCTCACGGGCAATGGTCTAACCCTAGGCCGCTGGCTTGCCATGCAATCCAGTGCTTAATGATTCTCTAGTTGTCTTGGGTGCTCATTCTCCTTGTTGTTGTTGAGAATAGATACTGAGTTAGTTAATTGTGCCAGCCTGGCCGATAATCACATGTGGTGCTGGTTGAAAGGAGGAGGGATAAATGGGTGGTGAAGCCTTGCCTTTC